GCCAGGCATGGAGCATCACCGTTTGGGCCGATTTAACCACAAGCTGTGGGTGGACACTGTTACCAGTAGCTTCCAACCCCTGGGGGTTTCCTTCCTCCTCTTTCCTTCCCGCTCGAACTCCATCACAACCTCAAGGTGGAAGTTTGCCCTTTTTTTTTTTTTTTTTCTGTTTTCCCCTGTTTTTATTCTTGACCTGAGACTTCCAGAGAGCAGGAGGATCTGAAAAGAATGCTTCAGATTTGGCCTGAAAGTATATTTCTGCTTGCTTCTGACAAGACTCGTATACAGAGAGGACCTTTTGTGAGCTGAAGTGGCCGCATTACCCCATTCAAAGCTCCGGGTGGTGTTTTAGAATTTTCTTTTGTACGCTAGTGATCTGTGGTGATTTTTTGGACTCATTCTAAACATTTAAACCTAATTTTCCTAAAAAAGGTCCCCCAAACTATATAAAGATCTGGCCTCAGAGAAGCAGGATCTGCTGCTACACCAGAGTCAAATGGTGTCTTTTTGGAAACTGGGCCTGGTTTTCCTTTCAGCAGTGTCCCCAGGGAGGAGTGAGGGCTGAAGAGGGACAGCAGGCACCATGACCCTCCACCTGCCCAGCCCGCACCCCTCAGCTTGACAGAGATGCGCCATGAGGTCAGCAGCTCAGTCTGACGAACCTTTACCTTCTGTTGGCATCCAAATGGGGAGCTCAGAGGAAGCCTCCAGCTCTTGGCGTCTCCCACTTTTGTCCGTCCTGACAGACGGAAAGTAACAGCGGGGCCCTGGGGAAAGCCCTGGATGGACCCCACTCCTGAGCTTCCCCTGGCTGGCTTCCCAGTGCACCTGCTTCCTAGATGCTCAGCCACAGCCCGAGTCCAAGCATAGAGGACGGGATGTAGAGGTGAAGGATGAGGGGATTTTCAAGCAGCCAGAATCCAGGGGATGAGGGATAGAGGAAGGGTGGGTAGAGGTGAAGCATGAGGGAATTTTCAAGTCATTTTTTTCTTCACCTGGTAAAACGTTTAGCAGATTTCAGAGTCGACCGTGTCATTTCTCATTATTTTGGCATAATTGTCTTGTTTAATGCACTTCATTAGAAATTGAGGAGTCTGATCAAATCTTAAAGCCAGAATTTTCTGGCTCAAGAAAGAGTTGTTAATGGCAATTAACAAAGAACTTCCCCCTCTATTTCTTATTTGAGGAGCTCAGAGCACTTTACAAATTCAAGCTAATATTAATAAATAATATTTTGGTGTACAGCAGAAAAATATACAGGACCCCCAAACCCACAAACTGCCTGAGGGACTTCAAGCAATAAAAGATAATGTTGCAGAAAAAACACCTTAGAAGCTCTTATAATCCTGTAAGATTTCTAACCTTTCAATAACATTCTCTGTTTTAATATTTTTAAAAAGTGGGTCATGAAAATACAATGTTTTTAAAAGTAACTGAAATATATTTTTCTGTTTCTCATATACATTCAGTCAGTGATATTTTCAGGACATTCATATTGGTTTTGTAGTGGTTTTAGGACAGTGTGATTACTGCGTAAAACACTTACCCGTCTATTTGAGTCCAGATACACGTGTCCGTTAACACTCCATACTACCTATCATGACCCCAGTAGCATGAAATGCCAAAAAGGTAGAGACAGTGCTGCTCAGGGACTGTAACTAATATGCCTAGAGTCCCACAGCAAGTCACGAGGCAGAACTGGGATATAGCTGCCCATCTGTCTGGTTTCTGTGTCTCTTCTCTGGAGCTCGACAATGTGGCACTTTGGAGTGAGACAGACTGAGGCTCCAATCTGGCTTCTACCCATTTCTAGAGATAGAATCTAAGGCAAGGGACAAATTTGCCGAACCATTTCCTTCTCTGCAAAGTGAGGATTCATCCACTTAACCTGCCATTCAACAAGGATTTAATAACTGTCTCCACATGGTGGCTCCAAATATTCAGTGCAGTGAAGCCCGAGTATTTAACAGTGGCCCAAATCACAGTTTTATGTGCTCCATAAATATGGGTTCCATTTTGGCCATATTTATAGTTGACGTCAGACAGATGGAAGAAGGAATGGCTATTTGTTAATTCTGCTTGGAGACTCTTCATTAGTCAATTAGTCCATTCATTCAATGAGATTTGTATAGTGTGTCTACTATGTACATGCATTCTTGGAATGAGTTAGTAAAGCAAAAATCCTTCTTGTTATGGAGCTTACCTTCTAGCAATAGAGATACATAAATAGGTACATAATAAGCACATAACATAAAGTTAATCATATGGTACCCAAGAATGTACTAAAGAGCTGTGGACATCAGAAAAAGTACTTGGACAAAAACTTGAAGGAAGTGAGAGAATGAGTGACACAGATAACATGAGGGATTTGCTTTCTAGGCATAAGTGTTGGCCAGTTCAAAGGCCCTGAGGCGAGAGCATTCCTGATACATTGTGAGAAGAGCACAGAGGATGGAGTGGAATGAAGGAGGAAGAAGATTAGATGACACTAGGAAAGTAACGGGGTCCAGACCGAGTAGGTCTTTTTTGACGTTGAATCTGATAGCCATTGCGGGATTTCAAGCAGAAAACTGATGTGCTTGTGCTGACGTAATTTTAAATGCGTCGCTTCGGCTACCGTGTAAGAGTCACGGGTAGAAGCAGGAGATGGGTTAAGAGGTTGTTGAGGTAGTGCCGGTGGGTGATGGTGGTCCAGACCCGGGTGCCAACGGGGGTGTGCGTGGCAAGCGGTCGGTCTCTGAGCACAGTGTGACGGCAGAGCCATCCGCTACGTTAGAGGAATTAAGAACGACTGAAAGGATCGTGGCCCGAACAGTTGGAAGCATGCGGTTGTCTTCAAGCGAAGGCGGCAGATGGGGCCGGCTGGGAGGGAGAGGAAGCCAGGGGCGGTTTTGGACATCACCGGTGGCCTTGACTGGAGGCGTGTCAGTGGCGTGGTAGGAGTGAAGGCTTACTGGAGCGGGTTCAAGGGAGACTGGGAGGAGGGGATTTGGAGACCCCGGGGACAAACGATTTGATCCAGAGCCATTGCTGCAAAGGAGTGCGACGGAATGAGGCGCACTCTAGTGGGTGACGTGGGGTCCAGAGGAGGTTCTGCTTTGTGAGACCACCTTTTGGAGGCTGGTGAGAACGATCTAACGGAGGAGCGTGGGAAAGTGGTGACGTAGAAGGTAAATGAAGGAGCAGCTGGAGCAGACGGAGTCAGAGGCAGGCGCACGGGAGGGAGAGCCAGTGTGTGCAAACAAGCGGGAAGGCAGAGCACCTGGCAGGTGAGGTGGTGGCGGGAACCCCCGCAGGTTCATTTCTGGTGCGTTTTTCTCAGGGATGGAGAAGTCAAGGCCATCAGTTGGGAAAGAGGACGGGAGGGATGTCACCCAAATTTTTAAGACATCTGCCATCCTTTGTTTTCTTGTCCTCGTTCATTTTTTTCTTTTTCTTTTTTTTACCTTTGGTTCCCTTTCAGCTGCTGTTTCCTAAGTGTCTCTAGGGTGAGGGGAAGGCAAAGTGGTGGGCACAGGACAGGAAGAGGAAGTAATGCGTGTGTGTGCAAAAGAGAAATAGCAGCCAATCCAGAGACACACAAATCTGTGATATAAAAAACAGACAATAAGGGGCACATGGGTGGCTCGGTCTGATAAGCGTCCAGCTCTTGGTTTCGGCTCAGGTCATGATCTCTCGGTTCGTGGGATCGAGTCCCACATCAGGCTCTGTGCTGATAGTGCAGAGTCTGCTTGGGATTCTCTCTCTCCCTCTGTCTCTGCCCCTACGCTGCTGATGTTCTGTTTCTCTATGTCTCTCTCTCTCTCTCTCAAAATAAACAAGCTTAAAAAAATAGACAATAGAATTTTAAAATCCTACAACTTTCAACAAATACGTTGGTCGGAAAGGAGGGACAGTTAGTCTCCACAAACACCACATGTTCCTTTATTGGTATCGCCTTTTTGTTTGACTTGTTCTCAGGATCGTACTCAGCACTCACATTACCAGACATGAGTCACATGGGACCTAAACATTTCATCTAGGCACTTCTTGGACACATTTCTTTTTGAAGGAAGGGAAAATGAAATAACTTTTAAAGGTTTTCATGCCCAATGTGGGCTATGTTAACATCACACCCCCAATAAGGGTATGTAATTTTTCTAAGGGTATAAATTATTTGGAGCCAAGTACTACTTTTCCATTTAAAATGGTAGGCTGGAGGGGCGCCTGGGTGGCGCAGTCGGTTAAGCGTCCGACTTCAGCCAGGTCATGATCTCGCGGTCCGTGAGTTTGAGCCCTGCGTCGGGCTCTGGGCTGATGGCTCAGAGCCTGGAGCCTGTTTCCCATTCTGTGTCTCCCTCTCTCTCTGCCCCTCCCCCGTTCATGCTCTGTCTCTCTCTGTCCCAAAAATAAATAAACGTTGAAAAAAAAATTCTTAAAATGGTAGGCTGGAAATCTGTCAGAAGATCTTGAAAACGTGAGGATGTTAGATTTAAGGATGTTATCATTGAGTGGGAGACTGGGAATTACTCTTTCAGACCACACTTGTTTTAGGCCAAGAACATTAATTTCATGAATCCAATGGAGCCCTCCTTCTGTATGAGAACTACCTTACCTTTTAAAAAATATGTAATACTACAGGTAGTTTCCTTTTTAAAAAAAATTGTAGTAAAACACATGTAACGTAACACTTACCGTCTTAATGAGGTTTAAGTGTACAATCCAGGGGCAGTAAGTACATTCACAGTGCTGTGGAACCATCACCAGCATCTGTCTACGGACCTCTTTCCACCTTCCCAAACTGAAACTCCACACCCATTAAACACTGAGTCCCCATTCTCCCATCCCCGGGCCCCTGTTAACCCCCAGTCTCCTTTCTGTCTCTGTGGGTTTGAGAACTCTAAGCACCTCATAGCAGTGGGGCCATACGCTACTTGTCTTTTTGGGTCTGGCTCCTTTCACTTGGCATAATCTCATCGAGAAGCACCTGATGTTGAATTACTCCTCCTCCTCGTCCGTAGGTGGAGTCTCAGCTTTGCGGCCTGCTTTACGGCACCGATACTCACGTGGGGCGCTTTGATCAACAGATTCATCCTGGAAGACCACCTTGTGCAGCTGGCTGGACAGAGGCCGTTGGAGGTGTTCTGTCTTCACGCTGTGAGTAAACCAATCATAACCTGGCTTTAGTTCATCGGAAAGTGAAACAGGACAAAACAAAACAAGTGACGAGGTAAAAGAAAAGAGCCTTCCTCACGTTTCAGAGGGTGTTCATATAGTTCAACTGAAGTTGAAAATTGATACTATCCAGACACTCAACTAGGTGCTTCTTCTAAAATAGGGTTGTGCTTGTGAACGTTTCTTTATTACACGGCGCTCCTAACTGTCCTTCACTGGTAGTTGAACTGAACGACCAATGTCTGGTCAGTCTTCTGGCCTCCCAGAGCACCTTAGAGATTTTATAATGTGTATTTTAAAAATCTTTGTCTCAACTTCCTGTTCTAATGGCAAAGCCGTAACTTACGCCGGGTCAAGACTCTGAACCATGTCTGTTGGGAAGGGTCAACTCTAGCAAAAGAGCTACCTTCTCCAGTTCCCAAGGCTTCTTGTGACACTACACCGGAAGCCCAAGTTCAGTACTTTCTAAATTCCACAGAGTGGGTAAGCATAGCGGCATAATTAGAGAAGTCCATGGTTTTTTCTTTTTTTTTTTTTTTTTTCCTCTAGAAGCTGAAAGATGGGGTTAAAAAAATACCCAGGCGGCCTAACCTAATCTGCTTTCTCACTCCTAAGATGTCACTAGGCCATACTGGGGCCTTCTGCTGTTTTGGGATTTACCATGTATCCTGACATTTGCAGGGACTTGAGGGGCTCACACCCTGGGTGATAAACTGTAGCTGCTTTCGACAGGACAGCCGTAAGGGCACTCTGGTACCGTGTCCTCCTGCGGGAAGAGGGTCTTCCCTAGAACCAGCTTCCCCTTTGTGGCTCAGAGGAAGGTTTCGAGGGATACCTGAAGAAGCAGCTCCTGGGGCGGTGCGGCTCAAAGGTTATTGCACGACAGGGGTGGCCTTTGGAATAGTTGGCTACTGGCTTCCCCCTCTGAATTCCCCTCTAGAAAGAAGGCTACCCACTGATAATGTCCTGAACCAGATTTTTTTTTTAACTTAAAAAAAAAAAATAGGATTTTACTTTTGCTCATATGTTTAGGAGCTGAAGAGCATTTGGCTCTGGGCTTTCCAGAATCCATTTACTCATTTGCATTCCCTCCTCTCCGTCTCTCTCCTCTCTCTCCTCTCCTCCCTTTTCCTTTCCCTCTCTGTCTATGCTAAATTTGACACAAATAAAACATTTACATGGTTAAAAATTGGAAGAGAAAATATGAAAAGTAGAGAATAAACATTGTTTTCCTTTCCCCATCTTCCTGGTTCCTCACTGGTAATCTGTTCTTGACTGGTAATCGCTCGAAGTGCTTTCTTAGCTAATTTTGCAGAGGTGCTTTCTAAGAAAAAGTGCTCATATATTATTATCCCTGCCCTTTGCACTGAAGGTTGAATATTGTACACGGCGTCTGACATTTGACTTTTTCGGCTAATACATCCTGGAATCGTTTGCATCTCAGTACCCAGGGAGCTCCCTAACTCCTTTTCACAGCTAGAGAGTATGTTAGCATGACAATGTGCCACAGGTATGGTTGTTCCTAAGTGTTTGCTGTTCCAAATACTGTGGTGGTCCCTACCACTGGGACCTATGTGAGTATTTTGAGGATGGGAGGGAATGGTATGTTCCCAGAAATGGAATTACCGAGTCAAAGACCATATGCAATTATATTTCTGATAGATATTGCCAAAGTAACTGCCATAATTCTTTACTTTCCCAGACTTTCACTAACCAAGGGTGGCCAATGATGATGGATGAAAAATATCCTTCCTGTGTACTTAGGATTTTCATTTCTTATTATGAGTAAAGTTGAGAATATTTTTTTTTTGAATTTTTTTTTTCAACGTTTATTTATTTTTGGGACAGAGAGAGACAGAGCATGAACGGGGGAGGGGCAGAGAGAGAGGGAGACACAGAATGGGAAACAGGCTCCAGGCTCTGAGCCATCAGCCCAGAGCCCGACGCGGGGCTCAAACTCACGGACCGCGAGATCGTGACCTGGCTGAAGTCGGACGCTTAACCGACTGCGCCACCCAGGCGCCCCGAGAATATTTTAATGAGTTAAGAATCTTTAGTGTTTCCTTTTATTTCCTTTTCTGTGAACTGTACTTTGCTTATTTTTCTATTGCTTGGGGGTAGTTGACCTTACTGATTTCTAGAAACAAGTTATCTATTGGGGAGGTTAGCCCTATGTTATGTGAGCTTTCTTTTTGCACATTTATATCGTGTTTATCGTTTTGGTTTGGTTTCTTACTGAGATTGATTTTGCATGTGATAAAATGCACAGATCTTAAAAGTACAGTGTAATGAATTTTAACAAAGGTATTTACCTAGGTATCAATCTCCCAGATCTATTTTTTATATCAGTACTATACTGTTTTGATTGCTATAGCAATATATATATTAGCTTTAGAAGAGAATGTAATATAGTGTAATAGCTTTGTAATACAGTTTGAAATAAAAAAGTGTGATGCCTCCAGCTTTGTTCTTTCCTAAGATTGCTTTGGTTATGTGGGGTTTCATGCAAAGTTTAGGATTTTTTTCTATTTATTTTTTTCTATTTATTTTTTATTTTTTTCTATTACAACATCATTAGAATTTTGATAGGGAGTGCCTTCAGTCTATAGATGACATTGGGTAGTATGCACATTTTAATGTTAACTCTTCTGATCCATGAATGCAGGAGATCTTTCCATTTATTTGTGCCCCCTTTAATTTCTTTCATCAGTGTGTTACAGCTTTTGTTATTTAGGTCTTTCACTTCCTTGGTAAATTTTTCCTATGTATTTTATTGTTTTTGATGCAGTTGTAAATGGGATTGTCTTCTTTATTTTCAGATAGTTTACTGTTAGTGCATAGAAATGCAGCTGATTTTTGCATGTTGGTTTTATATCCTGCAACTTTCCTGAATTTGTTTATTCTAACAGTATTTTGGTGGATTCTTAAGGATTTTCTATCTGCAAGCTCATATCATCAGCAAATAGAGATAATTTTACCTCTTCCTTTCCAATTTGCATGCTTTTTTTTTTTCTTGCCTAATTGCTCTGTCTAGGACTTTCAGTGCAGTATTGAATAGGAGTGGTGAGAGTAGGCACCTTTGCCTTTTTTTGTGATTTTAGAGGAAAAGTTTTCAACCTTTTACGACGGAGTGTGATGTTATGTGTGGGTTTGTCATATATGGCTTTTATTCTGTTGAGGTGTGTTTCTTCTATACCCAGTCTGTTGAGAGCTTTTATCGTGAGAAAATGTTGAATTTTGTCAAGTACTTTCTCTGCATCTATTGAAACAACCATGATTTTTGTCTTTTATTCTATTACTGTGGTATGTCACACTTACTGATTTGTGGATGTTGAACCATTTTTGCATTCCCAGAATAAATCCCACTTGATCATGATACGTGGTCATTTTAACGTACTATTGAATTTAGGTTAGCTAGTATGTATTGAAAATTTTTGCATTTATATTCCACAGGGATATTGGCCTGTAGTTCTCTTGTAGTATCCTTACCTGGCTTTGGTATCAGGGTAATGCTGGCCTGGTAAAAGGAGTTTGGAAGTGCTCCTTCCGCTTCTATTTTTTGGAAGAGTTTGAAAGGGATTGGTAAATGTTCTGTAGATTTCACCAATGAAGCCATCTAGTCCTGGACTTTTATTTGTGGGAGGTGTGTCATTACTGATTGAATTGCCTTGTTTGGGTCTATTCACATTTTCTCCATTTTTTAAAAGTGAGATATAATTGACTTATAACGTTTCATTTCAAGTGTACAACATAATGATATGTATAATCACCACAAGTCTAGTTAGCATCCATCACCATGCATAGGTACAATTGTTTTTTTCTAGTGATGAGGACTTTTAAGCTCTCTCTTAGTATTTTTTTTTAATTTTTTTTTTCAACGTTTTTTATTTATTTTTTTGGGACAGAGAGAGACAGAGCATGAACGGGGGAGGGGCAGAGAGAGAGGGAGACACAGAATTGGAAACAGGCTCCAGGCTCCGAGCCATCAGCCCAGAGCCTGACGCGGGGCTCGAACTCACGGACCGCGAGATCGTGACCTGGCTGAAGTCGGACGCTTAACCGACTGCGCCACCCAGGCGCCCCTCTCTTAGTATTTTTAAATATACAAAATAGTAATATTAACTGTAGTCACCATGCTTTACATTACATCCCCATGACTTACTTATTTTATAACTGGAAGTTTTCACCAATTGCACTCTTCATCAATTTCACCTTACCCCATCACCACCTCTGGCAACCACCAATCTGTTCTCTATATCTGTGAGTTTGGTGTTTTGTTTTGTTTAGATTCTACATATAAGTAGAATTTTTGTCTTTCTCTATCTGACTTATTTCATTTAACATAATGCCCTCGGGGTCCATCCGTGTTGTCACTAACAGCAGAATTTCCTTGTTTATTATAATGGAATAGTTTTCCATTTTATATATATATATATATATATACACACACACATACTACATTTTCTTTATTCATCCACTGATGGGCATTTAGGTTGTTTCACTATATTGGCTATTGTAAATAATGCCATAGTGAACATGGAGGGGGGTGTGCAGACATTTCTTTAACATAGTGATTTTGTTTCCAGAAGTGGAATTTCTGAATCATATGGTATATCTAATTTTAATTTTAACTGTTTTCCATAGTGGCTATACTAATTTTCATTCCCAACAACACTGCATAAGGGTTTCCTTTTTTCCACATTCTGCCAACACTTGTTATTTCTTGCCTTTTTGATAATAGCTGTTCTAATAGCTGTGAGGTGATATATCATTGTAGTTTTGATTTGCATTTCCCTGATGATTACTGATGTTGAGCACCTTTCCATGTACCTTTGGTCATCTGTATGTCTTTGGGAAAATGTCTGTTCATATCTTCTGATAGTTTTTAATTGGATCGATCGGGGTTTTGCTATTGAGTTGTAGGAGTTCTTTATATATTTTGGATATTACTCCTTTATCAGATATGATTTGCAAATATTTTC